TAGAGATTATAGTATGTTATTAAGCAAACGTGGATTAAATATGTTGTCGTTCTTTCTCCATATGTTTTAGAAGATATAGTAGCTAATCTTTTGTTTGTTATTTTGCACGTGTAGATTTTATTGTAATGTAATGTAAGAGTATTGCAATACTTAGGAGGTCTAAAATTGTCATACTTCTTTGTATACTAGAAGGCACAATGATTTTTAATATTGTTAATATTAATATTGCTTTTAATAGTTCTACCATAGTTTGTAATCTCATAGACCATCGATAGGCCTAGAGCATTATTTTTATTAATTTATTTTTAATTACTTACTTAATGGCTGGATACTTTTTAACCCTGTCACATACTCGTGGTACTCGTGGTAGCCAATTGAACTTATTATCTATACTTATACCCAAATATGTGATTGTCGACACTTATTCAATATATTTTTAAGATATAGTCATGAACTTTTTTATGACATCCGTTTGATTTCTAGCATGCGGCGATAGAATGAGAACTAGTTTATTGTTTGTTAAGAACTAATTTGTTATCATGACACCATTTGTTGGGTCGATCCAAATCCGATTGCATTTTGACTAAAGTAAAATTAACGTCACGATAGACGATGATAATACATGTGACATCGGCATACTGATATGAAGTTCCATGCTTTATGTAGGTATACATAATGTTATTAGTATTGTTATCGGCGAAGAGGGCGACGAGGAATTGGTGTGGCATAGGTGTAAAAATAGATCCAGTTACGAATCTTCACACAATTATTTAATGTCGCCAAATACAAAGAACCCCGGCCCAGGTATCGACCACCACACAATAAGAACGATATGTCAATATAAAAAACAAAATTAATTAAATATATACAAAAAAAAACTACAATAGGTCTGTCCAGTTGACGATCCTCGACAAGTATAGAAATTATAGAGTAAGCAAATTTGTCACAATATATTGTGAAGTTGTATATCTTTTCGAACAGTCGCAAATATATAATGTTAACCTAAATGTTTTATTATTTTAGAAACCTTCTGATAATAGTATAAAGGGAACTTAACAGTTTTGAACAGTAATTAGTGTTGGTAAACTGTATATATTTTTATTTTTACAATTATTCAGCAATATATCGTGCCACAATGTTCCGTCCAACTGAGAGAGAGTACCGGATTTTTTGGCAGACCAACCGCGACTCTGGTTCGTTCAATTTGAGGCTGTTGCAGTCACAGATGTTATCCAACGCCGCAAAGTAAATTTAGTTGCTACCAAAGTGAATTAGGCTGCCATTCAACAGGTTATTGATTTGTTATTATTATCACCTGGAGTAAATACCAGATTCTCAAAGACAGATTATTACAATTATTTGAAGAGTCTGAGACGCGACAGTTTCAAAAATTATTAGGAGCAATGGAACTCGGTAACCAAACACCTTCTCAGCTATTGCGACGTACGAAGGATTTAGCTCGGGGGAAGATAAGACCAGATGCTACGTTACAAATTACTGCAGTGCAGGCTTAGCAGTCACGAGACGGATCTGGTGAACCTGGTTAGCGTGGCAGACATCGGCGTGGTGTAAACAAGTAGTTCCGTGGCAAAAGATGCAGGCTTTTCATCATCTGATTTGGCACCTTGGTGGCGCAGCTCAGCGTCGAAGTGGCAGAATTACGGCGATCTTGAAATATCTATTGAAGCAAGTTGTTCCGGAGCAGGAACATCAGCAGAAGTAGGAATTATCATCGGCCAGCGTCGTATATAAATTTCAGTAAAGGGCTAGGAAAACCAGTGTTTGGTTTTATTATTTTCGGTACGAAGATAAAGAGATTGCATTTCTTTGTGTTAATTGATGGCAGTAGTTGTGTTCATGTCATGATTTTATAAATAACATTTTATTTTGTTTTTTTAGGGTTCCGTATCCAAAGGGTTGACGGATGGACAGCGAAGTCTTAATACGGGAGCCTATTACTAAGACTTTGCTGTCCGTCCGTCTGTCACCAGCCTGTTTCTCATGAATAGTGATAGTTGAAAATTTTCACAAATGATCTATTTCTTTTATCGCTGTAACAACAAATACTAAAAAAGAAACAGAATAAAATAATTAAAATAAATATCTACATGGGAGCCCCTTACAAAAAACGTGTTTTTTTTTACTCAGTTCCGGTGCGGAACCCTTTGTGTACGAGTTCGACTCGCACGTAGTCTTTTTTTATATAGATTAAGTTATTTCTAATCATTTATCAGCTGTTTTTTCTGAAAAGTTTCTTAGAAGGAACCACAATATGCAGACCCGATATAGTCTAAAAAATCGTTTTCTAGATTGAGTCCCCCAAGAATCGATCCTGATGGCTACTAAAAAGCAGCGAGCCATCTAGCTGCCATCATTGTTTAATATGAATAAGTATTGGATTATCTGTTGATTTACCATAAACTCAATTATATATTTATCTAAACGGAAAGAACTAAAGCGGTTCTAAAAACAATAAGTTATCTAAAGTTTATTTTATTTTCAATAGTATTTAACAATTGCGTTACAAATTTATTATATAAAGATAGGGATAACAAAGATAATTGTTCTCTGACATTAAATTAAAACTACTTATCTAAACTATTTCTTAAAATAATAACTAAACTAAATTAAAAATGTCTCCCAGATCATTGCCTACAGGTAAGGTACCCAGAAGGCTGCGAGCGTTACCTCTTTGAATAGCTAAACTAATTCTTTGGGCGAGGTACAAACCAGCCTTCTGATCACCTGACCTGTCAAAAAGTTTCTTTTTTAACTCTTGATAAAGACGTTACAAATTTGAATTTTAACATACAAATAATACAGTTAAGAATTATAGAACATGAATAATTACTATTCGTGCGTCGTCTACACAGATCATAATCAGAATATCTCACCGGGAAATTAATTAGTTCAACTTGATTATTTTTCGTAAAAATCAATCACAGATTTAATTATGGCTACTACTATCATACTAGCTTTTTAGATACATGTTTATTAGTTTAGTGGAAAATGTTCAAAGTGAGAACTTGGTTATTCATTTGTTGTTTGTTATGTTCTGTTGTAGCTTACCGAGGCAAGTAATATCTATGTATACTTATACTAGCATTGCGCCTGAGGCTTCGCCCACGTGTGGTCCTATTTTATAAATGCAAAATCTTCTTTTAGAATCACTCTGCATATTGATAAAAATCGTATTAAAATCCGTTATGTAGTTCAAAGATCTTAGCGTACAGACAACAGAAAGAGATTTGGTTTTATAATATGTATAGATTATAAAGCGAAAAGAATTGATTATTTGTTTATACTCGACAGATCTTATTGAAAAATACTACAAAAATGTTAAAATCAAACAGTTCTTTCATTTAAACATGTTTGATAAAAGCATTTTTTAATAGTCCATCATTTTTATCTACCACGTGCGTCAAAATAACAGAAAGCAGCCATTCTTTTTCATAGGTCATATTATAACTCGAGTAGCTCGGTGGCGTAGTGGATAAGTGCAGCGGCCCGCGATCGTTGTTGCTAAGCAACGGATGGGTGATCAAAAAATATTATCTCGAGCTGCACCGTGCTTCGGAAGGCGTGTTAAACCGTTAGTGCCAGCAGCATTTGCTGACGTTAATATTCTCCAGTCCGCATGGTCAGCGTGGGCCATCTTCCTTAACAATAAGGAAGACCTGTGCTCCTGCAGTGGGGACGTAAAAGGGCTGAAGATGATGATGTTATAACCATTGGTTTCTTGATCTCTGTTTTAATTTATGTTAAAATCAAGCGCTGAATAATCCTTAGGCTTAAAGATGGACTGTCAGCAGATCAATGAGTTTTGCTCTAGGATTGGATACTCAGTTAATTCAAGGCTTCATCTTAAAAAATGAACCAGAGACTCAGAAATACGATAGAGCCATTGTTATAACATGTAATTCTCGCTGTTTACATCTATTATAAGTAGAATAATAACAGCTTTACCAATATTGCGTACTTATGATATCTTTTAACAGCTAAATCAAAACTCATTGATGATATAATATGAAAAACACGTAATTATTACATAAGTTGCATTAAACATGAGTTATCACTAACATTATATCTATATATGAGTACATATTGAAATTTGGGAACACGAGAACGTGATATTAGATTCAAAGTAATCAAAGCGTGGCCAAGTTTGTCTGGTAAGTTCGTATTTTGGAGAGGTGAGATGGAATATCTCGTTGGTCTATAATGGGTATGGACTAATTAAATAAAGAAAATTTTGTTTTTTTTTTTGATCAAATTAGCAGAGCTTTTATTTATATTATTATATTTGATCAATATTGCATTCACAATGCTATACTGGAAAATATTATTATTGTAAAATGCATATGTAAATGTCATTACTTATGATAAAAAGCTGGTAAGTTTCTTTCGCTTGTTCTTCTTGTCAACTAAAAGACGTCCTGAACAAGTGGTAGGGGAAAAAAAATTTTTTTGGACTATTCAAAAGTGCTTGTTATAGCCTACTTGAATAAAGATATTTCATTTCATTTCATTTCTTAAAAAATCCATCAGCTCCTTGTACTCTGAGAAGAGACACGAATGCACCTTTCGCCATCCAAGCGACTGCTCTAACCACTGAACTACGGATCCAACAGTGCTGGCTAATTTGGCAAGCACTTTTTACTTTTTGCTACTAGTGAGCGTATTTTCATCAACCCAAACAGCCGAAAGAAATATTTTTTAAACTTTCGATAAAGATGAAAATTTGATCTAATTATTATATACGAAATATTTTGCATTCACAATGCTATACTATACTCTATTAGTATTTTTTTAAAGTCTATTTTACCTTTCACTTATTCAAGTTTTTTTTACTGTAAGAAGAATAATACTACCTCATTCCAAAGCATACGAAAAGTCAACTTTGAGTAATGAATACGTTTGAAAATTATTTTATTGTTATTTCCACACACACAATTTTATTTATTCTTCTTATTTTAGCAGAAATTGACTCAGATTACTTAATGCTTAGATCAGAAGATGAAATGCAGTTTTGTCTTGGTAAAATACCTGCGTTTATATGTCGATTGAATTGCCCAGGATATCACATATGCTTAGATGGATTATGTAGATGTATCAACGAAGATACTTTGGCTGTAATACCTGATTCCAGAGATGGTAATTGTATAACATGACATCATATGACTAAACTCAAATTTACTTTTTTCTTTGACAAACGATAGTTATATATGCTATATTTATTTTTATAGTTCACGTAGAGTATGTATTTTATGATATGTTTTCTTTTTGTTTATTTTATATGAATATATCTTTAGCATTATATGTGTTTTTGTTTAATGGATATTAATATATTATTGAAATTATAAGATTATTATACACCCCTGTACTTTTAAAATAATTCATCTCTCCAACCAAAGGTTGTTGTCTGGAAGAAATTGCTGTATAGATCGCCGATTGTGACACATAGCTTAATTAATGTTGTTTTTCCGTCCTATGTATGTTTTGTATTTGGTGTTAACAATAAAGTATTATCTATCTACTATCTTGAACTCCTGCTTTGGTTAAGCATCGGCTGCATATTAAGCATTCAAGCAATTTTTAGCATATATCAACTTGTACTAAGTGTACTCGCGCAAGAAAATGTACATTGACTCAAAGTATAAAGTAAACAATACATATTGCTACTATACATTTCTGTCTTAGTACCGGTAAGTACTGAGTTTTGTTATACAGGGTGGGCTCATCGAGCTATATATAGCGTTATACAACAAAACACAGTACTCGGAAGAAACGATAAATACTTGTATGGATAGCGATACGTATGGTTTATTTTTAAGGCTCACATATTACTTTATGACTATACATATACAATACATGTATATTTTGGAAGAACGTATCGGAATAAAACTGAGATTCAGAAAAACAAAATTTACCCTAATACGATCCCGTGTAGACCTTACTACAAAAATATAATTAATGGTATTCAATTTCTTACAGATCAATTTGTTAATTCGAACAGATTTATAGATTACACCGCAAGGTTGGACAACAATCGTAAAGGTAAGTCGTAAATCGTAAAGTTCATTCTTTATTATCATTTTCACATTTTCATGCGACAAAACCGGCTGTAGCGTTAGTTTTCAACAAACTTTAAAGTTGTCAGATGTGTAACTGAACCTCATTCTGTAAAATGAAATTGAGAGCTAACGTTTATTTTTCATTTGGCTTCGTTGTTACATGAAACAATATCTTAAATTTTATAATCATACTTTTAATAATATCACATTGTTTCAGAGAAAAAACGATCTAACAAGGTTGAATCGCGACCTGCTCTCCGTCACCACATAGCTCACTTCTGTCCAAATTTAGACGATGCCAGAGTTTGCATCAGAACTTGCATGAAGACGGGAAAGCCAGCGTTCTGTGGCAAAGATCACAGGTGCTACTGCGGCCATAAATATTCTGCACACTCTAAAGATACGCCACAAGATGCTAACGCGACATATGCTCAGTTCAAAGATATGTATGAGAAATATTTCGGGAAAGGTTACGTACCGAATCAAAATACACAGTTGACAAATTAAAGGAAATTGTTTTGTTTTTTGAAAAGAAAGAAATATTTACTTGAAATTAAACTAATCTGCTTAGGGGATTCGTATTATTAGGCGTTTCCTAGTTCAGCTATGCTTTTTTCTAGGTCAGTGAAAATGGGTGTAAGTGTCGCTGAAATCGTGCACATAGCCAATAAAAAAAAATAACACTAAAACATCACATTGTATGATATATTACAGTATTATAATATTCTTAATTCTAACAATCTCTCTACTAACCCGGTAACAATCGCCATCTTAAAAGAAAAAATAAATGATAATTACAACTTACAACACAACGTAAAGAATCTGTGATATTATATGATTACAGGGTGCAATGGCAAAAAAATATTTTAATTACTATTAATTTTAAGATAATAATATAGGTGGCATATTTCAATATTATATATTTTAGCAAATTTTATATTTAAGAATTTGTAAGAGTACTATATACACTTTTTCGTTGTTTTATTACTTTAATACAATCATGTACATGAATCTTAACTTACAAATACAGTTAAGAATGATTCTCGTAGAACTTGCATAATAACTATTTGTGCGTCATCCACACAGATAATTATCAAAATAATTCACCGCGAAATTAATTAGTGCAATTTGATTATTTTTCGTAGAAATCAATCACACATTTAATTAAAGCTGCTTCGCAGTAGCTTTTTAGATGCATGCTTAATAGTGGAAAATGCTAACTTGGTCATTCATTTGTTGGTTGTTATGTTTCGTTGTAGCTTATCAAGGTAAGTGATATCTATCCTACTAATATTATAAAGAGGAAAGACTTGATTGTTTGTTTACAGTGAGTAGGTTCCGTAACTATGAACCGATCTTTCTATCACCTACGAGAAGCTACATAATTCGCATGTGACGTAACACTTTTGAGTAATATGCATATAATTTATTTTTATTTCCAATAAGTGGACACAGTTTTCAAATACACTTATTTTCGCAGAAATAGATTCAGATTACTTCTTCGGTGGCGATACGCTTAGATCAGAAGACGATTTGCAATTATGCCTGCATAATGTACCTGCCTATATATGCCATTTGAGCTGCCCCAGATATCACATATGTTTAGATGGAACGTGTAGATGTGTCGATGCTGTTACTTTGGCTGTAATACCTGATTACAAAAACGGTAACTATTTTGTTGATATTGCAATTATTATCATTATATTAATGTTTTTGCAGTTTAGTTCCAAAATAGTCTTTGACTTAAAAGTAAACGATACAAATCGCTACAATACACCCCAATATCGTTTTCGCTAAATACCGCATTTGTAATAGTGCGTCGTAAGATTAATTTTTTTATGCATCTTGCCTTAAAAAATAATTCGACTATTACTTTTTCGTAATTTTTAATTAATGGCACGTTCTATAACTATTTATGCTAGCCATCTCTAACAATTATATAAAATGAAACCAATTTCAACTCTATGCAAAAAATAAGTTACCTACAATAGTAAAAAAATTACTTACAATTTACCAATAGCACGAATATGGTATATATGTTTTGTGTATAAATCTATAGCATCATGTACAACAAAACGCAGTATTCCGTAGAAAAGATATGTAATTCTATGGATCTATATACGTTTTATACCTTGGGAAATAGATTGTCGTCAACCTAAGGAACAAACTATAGCTTTCTTTAACATCTAAATATTATAAAAAATAATTCCAACTTTGAAGTTCTTCAACATAATGCATATATAAATATATTAAATGATATTTTGAAATAATAGAGTTTACTGAAATAGGATCCCGGACAGAACTCGGTATAAATAAAAATGTAATAGTATTTTTTATTTATGAATGAAAAATGATTAAAAAACTTAGTCCTTGATTGTTTAAGCATTTTTCATTAAGAATATTTTTCTCAATTCTGTGAATACGAAATTCATCAAATATAATAATATTAGTATTTATCTTTGTTTCAGATCCATTTGTGTTTTCGAAAAAGTTTATAGACTATAATTTAAGGTTGGAAAATAATATAGGTAAAAATAGTTCGTTAGATTCAACGGTAGATCAAGTTAACGTTAGGTAGCGATACTACTGTCTACGGGTATTGCAATTGTAAGCTACTGAATAGAATATAGAACGGTCGGCGAACAGAAAGAACTTCGTACGTTGACCTTTGTATCTACTGATAAATATTGAAAACTTTTTAGGTTGACTTTAATCTGACAAAATTGCGCACGACTGAAAGAGATATCTAATGCCGTGTCATTGAAAGAAATTCTTAAATCAGATGTTTTCCTCAAAAGTAGTGCAGGTGGAAATGAGATTTATTAGTTTAGTGATTTAAATTATTCATTGTTTATACTTTAGCCTGGCTATCTATACTAAAATTATATAGAGGAAAAATTTAATTGTTTTTTTTTATTTCATTTTATTGGCTGGAAACAACTGGACTGAAGAATTTTAAAAATCATTAAATTCTTTCTTGGAAGCAACGAGCTAGTTAATTACTAGAATATACGAGGGAGAAGTCGCGATAAAACAGCTACTATTATAATATAAAGTAATGTTACACAAACACAAAAATGTATCACGTTACATGATAATACTTGAATAATATGATTATAACTTTGAGATTCATTCTGAAAGGACTTCGAAAATGTTAACCTCTAAGAACCTCTAGGTTTTTCAAAATAGCCACAATCCATGCACGAAACAGCGTGTAAAAAAGCTAATACTACAAATAAAAGAATTAAAAGGCTATCATTTATTTTGCATTTGGCTTTGGTTACACATAACGTGTGTCGTAACGCGTGTATTTTTCTTTATTATAGGAAAGAAACGATCTAATAAGATTAAAACGCGACCTGTTCTCCGTCACCATATAGCTCACTTCTGTTCAAATTTAGACGTCGCTAGAGTCTGTATCAGAAATTGTATGAAGATGGGAAAGCCAGCGTTCTGCGGCAAAGATCACAAGTGCTACTGTGGCCATAAATATTCTGCACACTCTAAAGAAACGCCACAAGACGCTGACGCAACATATTCCCAGTTCAAAGACATTTATGAGAAGTATTTCGGGAAGGGTTACGTACATAATCAAAATATATAGTTGAAAAGTTAAAGGCAACTGTTTTGTTTTTAAAAACGATGAAATATATTTACTAGAAATCTTGAATTAATTGAAAATCGCGTTTTCAGTATAAGATTATAACATGCATCTGTAAAAGTTAAAAAGCTATGCCATTCAGCATTAATAATATAGCGTCAACCATAGCGTAGGATTTCAATTATAAATAAATAAATAATCAATAAACACTTAACAACATAACATATATTGCTCGGATTCCAAGATGAGCAATGAAGCGCCTGTTTAATGGAGTATCCAATGCAAAGAAGGTACTATAACAGTTAGACCCGATATAATAATATAGGTAAGTCCTTTTTCTACATTGATCTGAACCTCAATCGAACCCAAGATTCTCAGAGGTCGTCAAATTATAAAACTTTATTATCTTCTGATGTAGGTTATACTTGGTCACTTGTAATGGTGTGACAGCTCTGTAGTTTATGCTATATTTAAACATTATAGTATTGTTAATGAACTTAGTAAAGGTATTGTGTTTATATATATATTTTAAATAACCATCTTCATCTGTTTTTTTTCTCAAATCAGTAAATCGAAACACCGCATTGGATTGACAGATGTTGTTTATCTAAATCGATAGTTTAAGCAATAATTACACAATGTTAATTACGACTGTTACATTATTCTCTATAGAGCCTTCATTCCAATAAGTTTGTAAAGCAAACTGTGAGCAAGACAAATATTTCATTACACCGAGCAGACGGGGGTGCCAAATTTCCGAGACTTGATCAGGGCTTGTTCGTTCTGATTTATATGCCGCGAACAAACCCGCAATCCGGCTGAATTTTAAGTACAACCCCTTGGTAGCTTACGATAAAATAGTTTACGAATCGATTATAATGTACTTATTTAATAACAGTTTTTTTTCCGTTTGAACTATTTCATAAAATTATTTATTTTTAAACTTCTTAATTCATAATTATTTATGCCATTAGCCGGGTTATCGAAAGCTTGATCGAGCTGTGGCCGAAATGCCGCCGGCTTTCTATATTGTCTCATGCTTTAACTATTTAGTTTGGGATCCAAACATTGTAGGTATAAGACGTTGTCTAATGAGATAATAATTTAATTTTTATTGATTTTATTTTATTCAGGAAACTTACAGCTCTGACTATATGATATTAATGAAATAATAAAGTAATTTCCAAGTATTTAGAAATGAAGGAATAAGGAATCCCATTACAAGGACTTAATTAATGAAATGGGAAATTAAGTGTTACTAATATAATTAATTTCCAACGAATCAGTCGTCAAGGGCCTTTTTTCTTCTCAAAGTTCACTCTTTTCCGTGCTTATAAATAAATATTTTATCAATTCATGACAGCGACATGACAGCGGCCTTCTCCTTCAAAACACCAACAAAGATATGCGATTCGTTTTCATATAAATACATTTGGAACGCATTAAAATAATTAACGTTTACTGCGTTCTATATTAAATATAAAAATTTTAGAATATTATTGAACAAGTATATATGTAAATTGTTATATATTAGTTGCTTGATGTGAAATATTAACATTGTAGACGAACCTCAGTGGTTTATTACAATGTTATAAGAATTAAAATTGTAAACTTTCTGTGGATACAATAAAAAAATATAGTCAAATTATTTCTTATAACATTATAATATAATTATACCACTAAACTTAATTTATATCGTTTGAAAAAAAAATATAATAATGTAGTTTTTAAATAAGTTACCAATTGTTAAAGATTGTTTGTTGATTTTTTTATAAATTCTTTCGCGTTATCGAAACGCAAATGGCGACATTACCGTTCTGTCGAATGCTAATTAGGAGATAATCTTATCTACAAGAAGGTATCAGAAGGTTTGGTGGTGAAACGGAAAAAATATATCAGTAGACTTCAATTGTCAGATAGCGTTATGTGTTAGATAAATATTTTGAACTTTATCAGCAATTGATGAAACCGGCCCCTAGTTATATTGGTAAGTCAGCTGACCTAAGGATAGGCGTAAAAATAAAAGACTGTCCCATTGTCAAGCGCCGATGAGATATTTAGAGTTAGATTAAATAAGAAGGCGCATAAAAGCTATGATAAATTAATTACATTATATAAGAGACATTATACTCTTTTGATTCGACTCACTTTGTAGAGGACTATATGGTCTGGGTTATAAAGCCATTTACATTTTCTTGTATATGAGTTCGTTCGTTCATACTTCTTCCTATTCAAAAATAATAGGTAGAATTATTAAAACAACGAGAAATATGATAAGTTTCAGCAGGTACTTACTGACTTTTCCTTTCGAGATAATCTTGTAAATTGACGTAGTTTGAAAATATGATGTAGTTTTATGAATTTTAAATACATTTTATATGTACGCTAGTTCCTTGTACCAAAACTAAATAAAATATGGTCTTTTTTGTTTTTGCGCTGTATGTATGATACAGTAAATAAATATTAACAACTCTATGAAGTTGTTCATAAGAGTCATTTTAACTCGTCAATTTCTAGATGGAAATTCTAGGTGAGATTTCTCTCTTGTAACTTACATAACTTATTGGTGAGAATTACCGAAGAAATATTAGCTAAATTAATATTCCCTGAAATACGTATACTTTTTAAAAAGTTGTATATCCATCTCGTGCCGGCGCAGATGCGTGTGCGGGCGTAAGCTACACTTTCTGGCGTTGAATTAATTTAGAAGATCTTATGACTGATTAGCATCCATCAGTTTGCTGAATTCCAAAATAAGATTACAGTATTATGAGTAAGACAAGTTTTCATACTTTAAAGACTTCGAAAGTATTTATGTAAACTTTGATTTTAAGAATCAATAATTGTACAAAATATTCACTCAAGATCAGTAGGAACAGAGTGGTAAGTCGAAAAAATGTCACAGCCCTCCAGGTGTAAGGGCCTCCGGTCAGAGAAAAAGTTACCTCCGTAGCCGAGTGGTTCGCACGCCGGTTTCAAGGTGTCGCCATCTCTGAGGTCCCGGGTTCGATTCCCGGTCGGGTCAATGTAGAAAATGAACTTTTCTATATTGACTCGGGTCTGAGTGAGTACCTTCGTTGTCTCAGATACTCCATAATACGGGATCTTCAGCTACTCATCTTGGAATCTGAGCAATGTATGTGATGTTGTTAAAAAATATATATTAATATATAAAAAAAATATATTAATATATATTACTCTTGAAATTTATTATTATACAATATGTAAAAAAAAATGCCATTAGCCTCAAAAGGTATACCTTTTGACGCTAATGGCATTTTTTTTACGCCACTTCTCAAGTCCTAAACACGTCAGCACGGTGTGAACTTGTTAGCGTGCTCGTGGGCTCGCGCGCTTACTTGACGATACCCGCTAAACCTACTTCTTTCTTTTTTTAACGGAGGAGAAAGGCAACTTTTAATCTTAAACCAGGGATCACCCTCCGTGGGGGGGGGGGGAGCCTGGCTGGTTCAATCTACTTCTTCCCTTTTTCTTTTTACCACTACTACCACTTTCTTCCTTGCTGTATTAGAGCTGTCTTCTGCTACTTTGTCGCCTTCCCGCCACCCGTCGACTAGGTCAGTATATACGAAACTACCCAAGGCACGTTCGGCGGATTAGAAAACACACACATAAAGAGCCTTAAGGATCTATTGTAAATTTTATTCGAATAAACAATTATGAAATAAAAGAAAAACCCAGCAGTGAGAATTATATAATTCTCCTTTGCATTTAAACGACAAGACGTTTAACACTTTCTTTGAAGTCCAAATCATTATCATAGACAATCAGACTAAATAATGACGTCAACATCAAATATTTGAATTATCTACGTAAAGAGGCCAGTTTAAAGCTTAAAAAGCATTATAGAACTTGTATTATTTAATCACCTCATTAACAGGATGTTTTTCGAACCGAAATTTCTTATTCAATATTCTCCGGAAAAAAGATATTAAAACCTACGATATTTTATACTCGTATAACTCAGAAAACTGAATTTATCACAGTTAAATAATATCTGTACCTGATTTGTCAGCAAAAAAAACAAAAATGAAACGCTTTAACCCCAGTTCGCTACACAACAGTTATATATTGATCATATAATAGAAAGCTTAGGAGCAAGAGGGTTCGAAAGATGTAATTCCATACCATACGTCATATGAAACGAACAAAAATAATAGTTGACAAGCGCATAAGTCCGTCCCCGGGGGCCGTCCGTCAGACGCAGCCTTGTTACGTCTTTTGGGGGGACAAATTGATGACGGGTTTCATATAAAATTATTAACATGTTTTTGTCACGGAAAAGTTTATAGTAGTTGCTATTCGTTTAAGTTTCTTTATTTTTGTTTTCCTAACGTCAATTAGAAAATAAGTAATTAAGAAAAAAATCATAATGAAAAGTTTTGGAATCCTTGTATTGAGCATTTTAATTGGATACTCGTAGTGTTTGAACAAAAAAAAAAACGTTAAACATAATGACGTCACATAATCGCCATATTTGATTTTTTAACGTTACCTATCTTAAAATATTGAGTCAAATCTAACGATACCTCAATCATCTAAATCCGTTCAGAGGTTTTGAAGATATCAGGTAATTAAGAATGAAAGAATAACGTGTGAAACACATAACCCTTCCTTTGTAGTCTGGTAAAAAATAAATATAAGTGCTATTAAATCCTTAAGTCACTTTTCACTTTACAAGAAATACAAACACAAAAGCTCCTGTTTTAATAATTCAATGGAATTATTTAAATAATAATGATAATTAACAGAAACAACAAATTTTACGAAATATTAAATAAGCTTTAATTAAAACTGTATAAGGCTGTCAAGCAGACGCTGGGATCTTATAAATATTTAGTATTCATTAAAATTAATTGTATTATTATTAAAAATACTTGGAAGAAAGTATTGTTTTTCATCTTAATGAAAATATAAAAAAAAAACATATTGAGTGCCTAAAATTGTATAGTTTGAACAATTACCTCTTATATGGAATATTA